CTCTCTCTGTCCCAAAAATAAATAAACGTTGAAAAAAAGAATAACACTATAAAAAAAAAAAAGAAATTTTTTGTTCTCTTCATAAAACGAGAAGGGGTCAGAGGTATTTCCTATAACGAGAAGAATAGGTGATCAAGGAGACATCCATGCCTAATGCCTAGATTTATGGTGTCTATGTCTCCCTTTCTTTAGTGTGCCCATGGCATTTCAGCTCTCCAGGCTGCCTCCTGAGAGCCCTGGCTCTGGGACCACACCCTGTGTTCTCCTTTGCCCTGCATTCTAGCCCCTGTTTTTGGAATCTATATTTTTTCTTTCTTTCTTTCTTTCTTTCTTTCTTTCTTTCTTTCTTTCTTTCTTTCTTTCTTTCTTTTTCTTTCTTTCTTTCTTTCTTTCTTTCTTTCTTTCTTTCTTTCTTTCTTTCTTTCTTTTTGTTTAGTGGAAGCCCCACGTGTAAAGAAGAGGTCTTTCATGTATGTGGAACATTCCTACAGAGTAGCTAGATAGAATTATAAACCTACATAATAACATAAGATATCAAACAATGTATCTTTCTTTCCAAAAGAATGGCTGGCCAGTTACTAAGGTAGCTGAAAACCAAGACATTGGAGTAAAAGACAGTCAGTATCTGTTTAAATCAGACTGCTGAGAAAGGTTTAAGAAATCACCAAATAAAACATTCCAGGTCTGTTTTTCTGAAAATATGATTTTCGTACCTGTGGGGAACTAGTGGTTCAACAAATGAATATTAGGCTCCTCCTGTGTACCCAGCACTGCAAGAGGTAGAAACGGCATGGAGAGGATCAGTGAAAAAGAAAATGAGACACATCATCAAGTGCTAGGTTATGGAAATTCAGAGAACAAAAGAGCGTTGTGCTCTGAGATTAGTAGATGGAGCCTCTGGAGAGAGATTGAATCTCTAGTAGGATTACCCAGTGAAGTTTGTGACAGCAGCACAGAACAGAAAAATTCTTCCACATCCTGTTAATTACCAACCTCTTCAGTTCTTTGATTCGAGTCTCCTTCAGCTATA